TCAGGTGCAGAGTTGTGTGGGGAACTGGCTCTAGTCAGCCACGCTGATGACTCAGAAGCTAAATATAGCCAGCGATATAAACAGAGCCAGCCACAGAGCAAACACAGGGCCCCCAAGCCCCAGCACTGGCTCTCACGCACAGCACTCTCCACGGCCCCTCCCCCAGCCTCACTCTTCCCCAGGAACTGTCCGAGGGGCACCTCCCACTCTGGGGCTGGCTCCTAGGGACCCTTCTTACCCTAGAAAGTATCTCTGGGGCTTCTGTCCCGGGCTTCCCCATCTAGAGCCTGAACAACTTTATTAAGCATAGTCTGAACTCAGAAAACCACTCACCAACAAGGAGAGCATCCCAAAGGGTCAGGAAGCAGTGAGGGGCTCCCTGAACAAAAGATCCAGGCTGCTGGCAGAGAAGTCACTAGTTAATAAACCAAGAAAACACCAGCTCAGGTACAACTTCCAAAACAGCTCCCGAAGAACTCCAAAACCAGGTCCAAACAAAATCCTAAAACCCATTTTCAAAAGTATTAAATTGTCTAGGCATTAATAGTTATTGTGTGTTAGTTGCCCAGTCGTGGCTGACTCTTTGTGACCCCCTGGACTGTAGCTTACCAGGCTCCTCTGTCCATGGGATTCTTCAGGCAAGAATACTGGAGTGGGTTGCCACTCCCTTCTCCAAAGGATCTTCCTGACCCCGGGATCAAACCCGGGTCTTCTGCATTGTGGGCAGATTCTTTACTACTGAGCCACCAGGGAATTCATAGTTAAACATATTACAATTTCCAAAGGGCTTTCACATCAATTCTGCAAGGTGTGTATGAGAAACTGAGGCTCAGATAAGTTAGTTACATGATTTGCCTATGAACACAGAACTCGTAAGGGACAGAGCTGGGACTTGAACCAGACTTTATGTCTAACTCCAGGATCCTTTCTCTGACCTTGCAACTAAAGATGGTTTCCACTGAGTGGCAGAAATTTTTCTCAGATCTCATTTTCCATAAGGTCTAATTACTATTCAGGGAATTTCCAAATCTGACTCTTCTGAATGGAGCCACTCCTGGTCCAAGTGAAAAAGCCATTTCCAACAAGAATTTCAATTCTCCTGTAGCTTTACTCACTCAGTGGTCTCCAGTAGCCACTTTTTTTTCCCCCCAAAGATTCTTGGCTTCTTAACACTGCCCAGAAATACCCCACAAAGTTTAAGATGGTGCCATTGGGACAGTAGACTTTCCTAAGGGGAGAGGACACCAACTTCTTTCCATTCTTTGACTCATGCTGGAGGAGACCACAGCAAGGGGAATGGAAAGAAGCTGGGACTCACCTTCTGGGCCAGGGCAGCCCCTGAGCACAGGGAGGAAGTAAACCTGTACTGCCACGTTCCCTGAAGAAGCTGGACAGACAAGAAACACTAAGGCACCATCACAGAGCCAAGGTCAAGGTATGCTAAGGTCACTAGACCACCACAGATCACGTGTTGCAGCTAAGCTAAGCTCACAAAGGAGCAAAGAGGGGAATCTTTCACTCCTGACCCAGCCAGAGGAAGTTAGAGGTGTGTGACCAGGTTTGGAAAGGCTTTTTATCTCCACTCACCCTGCCACCAACTCTCTTGCTGCTTTGGAGACCCAAAGCATTGACAGCAAGCACAGCTTCTGTCTCCAATCCTTGCCCATTGGTCCAGAGAAGCCATCCTGAACAGATTACGTGGGTAGCCAGGCTAGACCTCCATCCAGTAAGCTCCTCGAGAAACATGCTGGGACGGTTTCCAGCCCGCAATAACCAACACCAGGGGGAATTTGGAGCATGTTGCCTTTAGGGTCATGCTGACACACTCACTTTGCCATAATGCCATCCTATAATGCACTACCATCATCACACACTTCCCTGTGCTCCACATCTCCTAGGGCCTCCCCTCATATAGAAAAAGAATAACTGGAAATAACTTGTAGTCCAGTGGTTAAGACTCCATGCTTTCACTGCTGAGGGCATGGGTTCAATCCCTGGTTAGGGAACTAAGATCCCACAAGCCTGATGTGGCCAAAAAAAAAGAATAACTGAGGTCCCTAACCAGGGCCAAAAGGCAGAAGCTTCACCTTCCCTACAGGACTCGGGGACCCATGGCCACTGTCTGGCCCTGGGACACCATCCCAGACCTGAGAAGAGAGGAGATGGCCAGGCCGCTTCAACCTTATTGCGTCTTGAGTTGTCTTTCCTGGTTATCTAAAAACTCAACCCACAATGATGGAGACCGATCATCATTCCCCCAGGAGAAATGTACAAGGACAAGGCCCATAAGTGAATAGCTTGGAAGCCAATTTCTCTGAACAGGGCAGGTGGAAGGGAGCCCACAGGAGGTACTTTGCTTAGGGACTAGCTGGACAGGTGGGCTGGAAGATGCACTGTGAACTGACAAGAACAAATGTGGGGGATGATCAGGATTATACAGACAAAGGAAACAAGCATTAAAGAATACCTACTGTGTGCCTGGAACTCAGATAGGTATTTTCTCACTGAATCTTCATGATCAAATTCTGTGACATTAGGTCTAATTTACAGAAGAGGAAATAGGCTCTGCCAGATCAAGTGTCTTCCCAGTGGCTGGTAGCTGGCAGAGCTGGCATTCAAACCTGGGCCTTCAGACTTTGTATCTGAAGCCTCGAGACTTAACCCTAAATTACTTCCACCCCTATGCCTCAGTTTCCTGCTTGCAAAGATGAGGGGAAGGAATAGGGAGAGAAGATGAAGGATAAGAATGTAAGAGTGACAACAGTTTTGTGTGGATACGAAATATCTAGATGTTAGTTTATACTGTAATCAAGTTCAGAAAATGACTCACTTCTTAAAACTAGCTGCTAAAAGGCCCTACACATGCCAGCACTCCATCTGCCCATGGCCATGATCCCAGTCCTTCCCACAGGATGGGCTCCCAGGGAAGTGAGCAGGGTGAGTGGGGAGGAGGGGGATAAAAGTAAGAAGACTCCCATGGACAAAAAGCCTGGCTCTTTGCAATGGAAAATTTGGGAAAACCAGCTCTAGGCCTCATTGGCCGGCCTCCCGCCACTGCACGGTAGGAGAAGGTAGCTGGCAGGATGGTGAGGGGCACTGGGAAGTCAGGAGCCAGCAGTGGAGGAGGTGCAGAGCTGGGGAGACTCTCCTCTAGTTCTCCTCCCACTCTGTGGCTCTGCCCCTCCTCCTCCCAAGCTGAACCAGGCCCTCAAAGAGACAGCTCTGCACTGGGGTCAGTGACACCAAACAACAAAGGGCAGGGTCAGACCTTGGGATCAGGGCCAGCTTCTCCTGTGCGGGACTGAGTTGGGAAGAAATGGCCCTGGGCTGAGTTCTAGTCCTGTGCCAGGGCTCAACTGGGCAAAAGAGGCCTCCCAGCCTGCTCCCAAGCCTATAAGGGCTCACCAGTGGATGGCGGAACATTCTGGGAAACAACTGTTGAGAGAGATCAGGTCTAATGGGAATGCAGAAAACTGACTTCCAGGTGGTCCCCCGGGTGAGTCCAGGAAACCCAGAGCCACTGTGTCCTCTCAGTTACAGCACTGGGGCTAGGAGCTGCGAGCTCAGGCCAACCACAGGCCTACACAACCAGAGTAAAGTGAATGGGCAGGAAGAAGGCCAAGAGGCAGAAATCAAGAATTAGAGTAGACTGAAGGGAAAACCCTAAGCCAAGTTTCCACAGAACAATCAAAGGAGGGAATAGGGGCTGGAGCTTGGAGCCAGAGGAGGCAGCCAGGCTGCCTTATTACCTAAGCATAGGGCCACCCTCCCTTCCTGAGGGACTGGGGGACCCACCAGGATCAGGTCTAGCCCCACGTGTCCCTCAGAACCCCCTGGCAGAGACTCTCACCTTGGCAGAGACTAACCCCTTATGGCTGGATCTCAGGAAACCTAAATTCAATTTCTGTCTCCCCACACCACCTCCTGCCAGGTGCTGGCCATGCTTTGGTCCTCAAGTCAAACCTATTATCAATAGCTCTCCTCTGGTCACCTGAATTTCCCTGTCTAACCTCAGGGTCTGTCCAATCATGGTGGATTAATTATTCTCTTGATTTCCTGACATACAGTCAGATATAGACACACACACACACAGCCGACTAGGCAAGGACACTGTTCCAGAGGCAGGGAATGTGTTCATTTCCAGGTGGCATGACTTTGCTTCAGTGGTGGTTGTACTAGCAGGGATCCAGCCTCAGGCTCCTCTCCCCGCCTTGGCAGCCATCCAGAAAGTCAGCCCAGGGAGGAAGGGTTAAGTGCCCAGGGGCCGGGCCAGACTGCCGCTGCAGAGCCAGGCAGCCTCCAGCCCGGAGGCACGGAGGGCTCCTCCACACGAGCCCGCCAGCCGCCGCCTTTGTTGATGGGCTCTGCCACAAGCTCCACTGACACGCGATGCTCCGCCCTGGCGGGCTGGTGCCAGGCTGCCCGCCGAGCACCCGGTCGCTGGTCTGGAGAGACTCTGAGGTACACACTCTCCAGAGTCCCGGCCCTGGTTTCCAGACAGAGACAATGAGGAGCGGCCTCCCCAGCTGGAAAGTGTCGGGTTACAACCGGTTCCACCACTTTCCCCAACTCAGACCCGTCCAGGCCTTGGTTACCCATTTCCCACTGCACGGCAGCCAGGTACCTCCGACTGTCCAGTTTTCCTCAGCACCATGAAAATCTTCCCCTTAGGTCTGCAAGGGACCATCTCCCACTGATGAACTCAATAAGAGATAGGGTGTCAGTCAAGGCTGCAAGAAGCTACGCCATTCTCCAGAAGAGATCGGAGCATTTCCCAGGGACCTGAGCTGAAAGTGGGCAGATAAACAACCTGGATCTCAGAGGTGAGAACAAGAGCACTCATCCAGCCGGGCCCATTCTCGATTTCCAGTCCACGAGAATCACGGCAACATGAGGCCTTAAACGTGGGGCCTGGCAGAGACAGAGTTGCTGAGGCAGGCCCCAGCCCCAAAGCCCCAGCAAATGCACACCACCTCCCCCAACCAAGACCCAGTGCCTACTTGCTGCATATGAAGCCGATGGAACTGGTCTGCAATGCACTGGAGTTTTCGGGCAATCTGTATCTCTGCTCGATGTTGCCACTGCCCTTCAGGGGGCTGCTCACCAAGGGGCAAGCCTGCAGGAAAGCTGGCAGGAAGGGGGAGCCGGTAGCCAGCATTGCCTGCAAAGACAGAGGGCCCACATCTCAGCAAGCTCCACCACTGCCCCATCTTCCCCATGCCTGCCACCCCTGGTCAAGACCCGGGGTCAAGGGTAGACTCTAGTGTGGGAAGGGAGAGGAACTGAGCTTGCCTTTCTCAGGGCACTCTGCCAAATGTGGACAGCCTGACTTGCCTGCTGCCTGAGAGTATGAAAGCTGATGCCAGGCTTCCCTTCAGCCCTCCCTTCACTGGCAGTGCCATGGCAAAGGTAATAAGTGTGGCTGAACTTGCCAACCTTCTGTCCTTATTTACCCAGCTACGCTTGACCACAATTTATTATTCATTATTCATATGGTAGTAGCAGGCTGAAGCTCTTCTCTAGGAAAACATCAGAGGCAGCTCTCCAGAGATCCTGAGTTGAGTAGAGCAAGGGACAGAGAAACAAAATCAGAAAGTAACCTCACTTTTTAGTGTAGCAGAGAAAGGCTGGTTTCAGGTCCTGAAGCTCTGGGCAGTGGCACAAAAACATAGGGAGAGAAGACTCCTCTGAGCCACAGATTAGCCAAGTTGCTCTCTGGAGCCAGCCCCAGGCCAGACATCTAGACCTGCTCTCCCCACTGATCAAGTGCTGGTCACCGAGCTGCCGCTAGGGGCGCCCGCCTGCTCCCGTCTTTCCCTCCTCCCGGCCCGCCTGCCTTATCCATCTTCTCAGATTCCTGCCAGAACTACTTTGCCTGAATTGTCCTACAAGGCAGCTCCTTCTGGGAATAATTGCAGCGTCTCCTCAATCCGCTCCATCAGACCCAGCAAGATAGCCTCTGAACCACCCTTCCCTCCATAAGCTTTGTGCTAAATGAAGAACACTGGCTATCTAACCCTGCCCTTTTGCCAGAGGAGGGCAAATTGCTAATAAAACCAACCACTGAAGCCCACAAATGAAGGGGTCTTATCTGACTGAGCCTTGGAAACAGCCCCTTTGCTGGCAGTGAGCCTAGGCAGGCCCAACCTCTTTCTCCAGTTCCCCTTCCAAACACAGAAAGTCCCAAGTGACAACCGGGGCGGGGGACCTTCTGCCTCCAGGAAACTTCTCTCCCAGAACAAGCTGGGTTTTCCCCTTCAGTGTCAACAGCGAGTCACAGATCTCCCAGCCTTCTCCAGGGCAACACTAGCCACTTTACGGAAGGTACATCACTATTACAACACAAATGGCTGGGCCACTCAACAGGCCACAATATGTAAAAGCCAAGACCCAGGTGCCCTTCTTCCAACCCAAGGAGACACTAGGGATCCAAGGATCCCTCCCGGAAGGGACAAATGAGCAGAAAAGAATGGCAAGGCAATCTGTCCTGCTTGTGGCCTGAGGAGCACAGGCAAGAAGCAGTATATGAGCAGAGAGACAGCAGGTGAAGAGTTGCGGGATCAATAGCCCCTGCTGCTCAATTTGGGGAAGGAAATAGCAAAGAGCAGGTTTGGGGAGGGAAAGTCCCCTCTTTTCCCCCAGTCTCTAAGGGAGGAGTCCTGAGGCTAAGAGCACTCACCATAAAAGAGTCGCTGGGGCTCCTCAGTCACCCCACAAGGCAGCATGACACCCTGGCTCGGGGAAGCTGGGCTGAGAGTCTGGGTGGCCTTGTCTTCCTGGCTGGTGGGTCGAAGCCCAGGGCCACAGCAGTGCGTGAGAGGGAAGAGCTGCAGACGGCTGAGGGGGCAGTCCAGCTGGCTCTGGGCAAACAGGTCAGCAGAGAGCAAGCTCCTGGGCTGGGTCCCCGGCTCCCCATCCTCTGGCTGGAATACGTCATCCTCCAGCTCCTCCACACACTGGGGTGGCTCCATCTCCCCTGTGAGGGTGCAATGCAGGCATCCGGGAGGCTGCCCCCACCCAGGCTCTACCTGGAAGGACTTCCCTCCCTTTCCTTCTTTCCTGCTCCCCCTTCTTATGTGGAGAAGTGGGCTCAGGCACTGATGACAGTCAACCCTACAGATAAAGCATTGCCAAGGGTGACAACCCACCCCCAAATGTGGGCTGCCTCGCAGTTCCAGGATTCTCCATGTTTCTTCCCTGTACCCACTTGGAGCCACCTTCCCCTCAGCCTCCTTCTGACCCAGGCTGGTCACAGTCACACAGTTGGACTGCTACTGACTCTCAGCCATAGCACGGGTATGGTCAGCTGCTACAAGCACTGAGGGTACCTGGAGAAATGTCAACAAGACTAGCCTCTGTGAGTGGCTGTGGGAGGGCAGAGGGTGCTGTGACTGGCTGTACCCACAGTGCTTACCACACACACACCCCCTTGCTGGTCTGAGGAGTAACCATCAAGTTCTCATCTCACTCTGAGCAGAGCTCCAGGCTGGGCAGCAAAAACAAAAGCCAGCAATCCTAGCCCGGCCAGGTTCCCTCCAAACCTGCTAAGCCCCGCCCAAGACTCTAGTCTCCACCCGCTGCTTGCTCAACACAACAAACAGGCTCAACGATGTGGTAAGAGTGTGTCCTGGGAGAGAGAGGGGGAGAAAAACCCAAGTTAGTCATTGCAGCTGCCCTCTCAGCAGAGTAGAGTTATCTGCCTACCACAGCTTAGCCGAGGAGAGGTCCGGCATCCAGCAAAGTGCCCAGAATTCCCCAGCTCAGTGTGGAGTCACTAATCTCCACAACTTCAAATCCTTCCCCACAGCCTACCATTCCTGCCAGCGCCGAACCTGAGATGCATACAACCTGCCTCATAGAAGGAAGTGAAATTCAGCCCTCTCTCTGTGACCTCACTTGTGGCCTGAACTCAGGTTGTTGATATGAGTTTCTTGGTGACAAAGAAGTTCCACTTGCGCCACTTGATGGCTCTTGGAAGTATGAGCTTGCAGTCACCCAGCTTCTTGCGCTCAAAGTCAGTCCCCTATACACACACCAGGAACCCCTCAGGGTCCCTGGGGCAGTCAGAAAAGCAACCACCTGAATGGCTAAGGATACGGAGAGATGGTGTTTGTCACTGCCAGAGTCAATTAGAGGTCCCCTGGGAATTCTGTCTTCCAGTCTCTTGCCCTTGAAGAACAAGCCAAATGGTCTTTGGGTTGGTAAAGTACTTAGAGGAAGCTCAGTTAATTCAAGAATCATGGCTTTCTCAAATGCAAGCTTTCTTTAAGGCACCTGCTTAAAGGATCTCCCTCCGTCCCATCCTGTCCTTGAGCTATCTATGGTCCCTATCCTGACCTCTTCGCTGCCCATTTGGATGGCAAAAAAAGGCACATGGTGTTCTTGGGACAGTGTTTTCCTAAAAGGTGTGACAGAACTAGTTTATCAGTGCCAGGAAACAAGGCATCCTGCAGAAAGGACCAAGCACTGTCCTTTCAGTCACCTGGCAGGGACTCCCCTCCTGCCCTTCCACCTCCTCTATGCAAGCTGGCAATCCCAACCTAAGATGGGGCCCTCCAAAGCCAATAGCAAGCAGCAGTCATTGTCTTGGCTTTTCCTTTGAAGCTTATCACCTCTCCCACCCCCTCCCAGCAAAGCCCCAAAGTTCAGCCCTTGCCTGCACTGGACAGTGGGGGAGGTGCAGTCAGAGGGTGTGGGTCTGCCAGCCTAGGGGGACCCTTCCCACTCTCCACAGGAACTACAGAGGGCTCTTCTGCAGGTGGGAGCCTTCAGAGGGGTGCTGGGCAAGATCAAGTGCAAACTGGGATACAGTAAAGAGACTTCTCCCCTTCCCCCGAGCTGAAGAGGTGGTGTCCAAACAGGCAGCAGGGGTGCACGTCCTAAGTGCACTACCAAAGGAGTAGTCCTAGCAAGGAGACCTAAAACCTGCTGGAGCCATCCCAGCCCTTACGGACGCTAACAGGGATGCTGAACTCGGACACCTCCTCCTCCTAGGAGAAGGCAGTAGCCAGACATTCTGAACCTCTTCGAAAGCTAAAATCTGGGAACGCACACACACACACACACTCACGCACTCACACAACACACAGCAGACCTGGGTGACTCCAGGGGAGAATCTCGGCCTCCGAGTCGTGATGCCAGGGTTCCGTGCCAGGGTCCAGCGTGACGAGCACTCGGGGGCTTGGCGCCCAAACTCAATTGGGAAGGAGGGGGGGAAAGCCCAGCTGTTAAGGAGAGGAGCCTTCAGACTCCGCAGGGATGTAGGACGTCCCACAACTGCCTGCCCTACCCCAATGTCAGATCCAGAGACCGGGCCATTCTCGGGCGCCCAGATCTGCTCAGCGGGGAAGCGCAGGTTCCCCTGCCTACCTGGACCCAAGCCATTAGAGACTCAAATGCTACTAGCCCCACATTCCTTCGTGGAGCAGCGCACCTACATGTGGGTTCTGTACCCCGTTCCCACACCACAGTGCCCCAGTCCATGGTCACTCCAGACGCCCGCTGCCCAACCCTTCCCGGGCCCCCACGCGCAGGGCGATCCTCTCCCCACTTCCCCAAGGAGGTGAGATCCAACTCCGCCCGGCCCTTGGCCGCCCAGGCGCTCACCGGGCAGCAGCGGGCGGCGGGAGGCGCAGACAGGGGCGGCGGCGGCAGGAGGCGGGCAGGCTCGGGTGGAGGCCACTCTGCACCGCGCGGTATTGTTTCCAAAATACGCCCGCTCGGGGCATCCCGCAAACAGCTGATGAGGCCCCGCCTCCGGAGCGTCACACGGATGGCTGGCCAATGGAGAGTGGAGCCCGAAGTCCCGGGCTGAGCGGCTGCCAGGGACTGTCACGATTGTACGAACCTTCCCTTGGAAACATTGCAAGGGACCGAGCCAAATTCCGGCCTCCGCCAGAAACGCAGTTGGAGCGCCGTCGCCCACGCAGATTCGGTTCCTAACACGGACTTTGGAAGCACTCGAGAGCCTTTTAGTCCTCCCTATTAAGAAGGAGATAGGGGGCGCCAAAGTGATTTTTGTCTTCTCTTTTCATGGGTATGGTCTGAATAATTTCGGCGCCTCCAGAAAGGAAGAGGAAGAGAAGGAAGCGGGGAGATTTTAGATGATGAGGCTGGCAGTATCCAGAGGGCCAAAGATACGGGTGCCGGTGGATCCCGGCCACCTGGTGGCAAAGCACTTCCCGGCTGCTGGGCAGGTCAGAAGCAAACTCCAGCCCCCAAAGCTGTAGGAAACTTGAAAACATGTGTGACTGACACTGTTATCTCGAGTGACATTCAGATCAGACATATCCAAAGGGACCCACAGGCTCTCTTCTTGACTGGGAACGGACAATCAAACAAAATTAGCATCTGGCTGAGGAGAGGAGAGATCAGGAATGCAGGGGCTTCTCTGGCAGTTGACACACACATCCTGCTTATGGCAGCACTGAGAGATGGTGCTAGGGCTGCAAGGAAAGCAACGTGTCCTGCAGACCACCTACTATTGGCAGGGGAGTCTATGGGCTAGTTCACAAACATCTCTTAAACACCCGCATTGTGCGAGGTAATGGGTTAGGTACAAAAACCTGTTGCCTGCCCTCAGGGAGCTTACCAGAAGATAATGGAAAGCAACAAGAAATGTGGTAATGCCAGGGATAATGACTGCTGGGAATGCAGAAAAATTCAGAATGCTAAGGCTGGGGAAGGCTTTAGGGAGGTAGCATTTGAATTGGACCTTGAAGGATGGGGCAATTTTTCAATTAGGAATACCAGATAAAATAGCCGAGACCTAGCTTTAGCACGATCAAGCGCTGAACTGGAGAATTTGTCAAGGGATCAAGGGCAGGGGAACGCATAGGATCATTGGGTGCACACCTGGACTGAGGAAGGGTGAGCATGGGCAGGGAGGTTCAGATCAAATTACAGAGGTGTCCCTGGAATGGCAGCTGAGGAATCTGCACTTTATTCCAGAGGCATAGGTCAGCTAGCAAAGATTTCGTAGAAGATGATTGACTTGACCAAGCCTGGATTTTCGGGAAGATAAATGAAGAGGCCAGAAATCAGTGAGAGGGAGCCAGTCCCTGCAACAGATTAGGTGAGGGATGATGGGGCTTGACCTAGGGGACAGTGGGGACTGGCAGTGGGGAACACCAAGCTGCTCTCTCTGAGTTTGTAAACTCAGATTAAAGCCTAGTGGAGCTGGGACTCAGCCCAGTGGAGCCTAAAGTCTCCTTGGCCCTTTTTGCTGCTCATTCTGTCCCTAACTCCTTCAAAGGGTACCTAAGAAAGTGGACCAGGCATAATAAGGGTTGTGGTAGCTAGAGTAGGAAAAGTCTATCCCCAAAACATGGAGAAGAGGAAAAGAGAACAGGGCAAGAGTCAAGCTTGGCCATCAGCCCAGTCCTCACATAAGTTGACAGATGTCCAAAAAGAGGTGCTGGAGCCAAAAGGAGGTATATTATTTTGCCAGGAGGCTTGGCCAAGAAGGAGTGTCAGAGCTGGTCAGGGTGACCTAGCAGTCATGCCATATGTGAGCAGATGAGAAGGCCAAGACCAGCCTCTATGCGGGGCACTGAGGAGCCGTCACCACATTTGCTTAAGTCTACACATACGTCCTTAGGGCCATCATCCTTCTCTTCTGACTGGCTTGCCTCCTGGGTCCGTATCTCAGGTGGGTCAGTTGGGCCTATGGGCATGACTTAGGGTCAAGAGTAGAACTGAAGGACAAGCCAGAGTCTGTCCTCTGGGGCAACACAGGCCTGGGGTACATGGATCTCCTGACCCACTTGAGCTGCTGAAGCTCTGTCTGCCTTACCACAGCCCTGCGAGGTAGAATTGGGTCCACGAGGCAAGGAATCTGGTAGAGAAAGCTTATAACCTGGGGTCCATGTATTCACCAGGCTCACCAGAGTCTCCTCAGCCTTAGGAGAGAAACTTGCTAAATTGTATTTGTGGGTTCACACAAGCATTTTTGTGTGGGGGTGGTGGCTCTGTAGCTTAGAAGAGTTTCCCAAAGGGGTCTGTGACCCTGTAAAAGCTTTAAATTCGCCATTGTAGGGGAATGGAGCTAAGGAGCAGAGGGGATCATTTTAGTGGGTCTGAGCAGGTTGGAAGATAGAAGAAGGGTCATATCCTGTAGTGACATTTCTTCACAGACCTCTCTACCAGGCCTTCCCAGCTTGCCCCCATGGGCTCCCTGTGAAGACACCCATAACTTGGCCTCCTTTGCTCTCAGTCTCTAAGGTCAAGCAGCAGGGGCCCAGCCTTATGAGCTAGAGGGACCAGAAAAAGACTGTCAGGGATAAAGGGGTCAGGGAGGTCAGAAGCCTCACTCCCCACTTCTCATCACTGTCAAAGCAGACCCCTCCCTGCACCCTTTCTCCCCTCCAGCACAGGGTAGACTCTTCAGCCCAAAGCATCAGGACCTACCAGGCTAGTCTTAGCTCCAAGTCTCCTACCAACAGCAGCACCTTGGGAACAGAAGAACCCTGGACTTGTGGTTCAGAGCACATGCATCTTGCATCTGCAGCAGAATCTCCTTTCCCTTTCTCTGTTGAAACCATTCTTTACCCCAGTTTTTTTGTTTTTTATTTTTTCCTCTGCTAACTGATGCTGGCTCTGGGAAGCAAAATTTTGCCGAAAAAAAAGCCAAGTTACTCCGAAAGGCATCAGCTGGGTGCCTGAGAGGGAGGCACAGAAGATTGGGGAGGGAATGCAAAGAGTTAAGGGGAGGCTGCTTTCAGCAGAAGAGAAAACCCAGCTCCCCATAGAAAGCCGCTGAGCTCTCTCCATTGTTTCACCTGGCTATAGGGTTTCTCTCTGAGACAAGGAATGGGCTCTAAACCTCTAGTAACTGGATCACTGGGAAGGGAGGTTTTTTAAAAAAACCAGCTGACAGCTGAATAATAGGAATTACCAGGCAGGCCGCCCTGGGGTTACTGAGGTTTGTAACTCAACCCCTAGGGAGGGGTTAGATTGGAAACTGATTTATGTGTAAGGTGGGGGTCTTGGTGGAGAAGTCCATATTGCTCGACCCTCTTGCCTCTTAACTCCCTCTGGGAGGGATTGTGTGTGTAAGAAAGTCCAGGAAGCTGGAAGGCATGGTGTCCTTCCTTGGTGGACTTGCTCTAACAGTGAATTTATCCCTCTGTGCATTATTCCATCTGTGTGTAAAGGAATAGTCTCTTCTGAGTTGCAGAGAGGTGTGTGTGTGTGTGTGTTTATGTGTGCACGCGGCACAGAGGAGGGGCAAGAAGTTGGGGAGGGAGGGGAACCTAACAGAACAGAGTGGCTTCTTCTAATTGAGTAAGCAAGTGGAGAGACTTGATTTCCTAGTCACTGAACTCCCTCCTTACCAATCACTGGAGAGTGGGGTTCAAATCAAAAAAGCGCGGCTAAAGAGAAAATATTTAGGAATTCCAAGACCGATGTAAAGGCAAATGCAGAGACTGAGGCTACCATGGGAAAGCCGAATGGAACTTAAAAGATTAGGTGAAGTTTGGGATCACATGCATTATGACAGTACGCAGTTTTGTTTGGGGGAATACTCAAAAAATATTTGCTGAATTTGTGAATGAATGTGCCTCTCCACATCTAGAAAATAGAAACAGTCCTGTGTTTGAAGAGTGGGGAAAAAAGCTTCAGTGGAAGATTTTTGATGACTGCCCTATCTACATTGTCTTGGCTTACATGTTTCTTCTTACCAGCAGAGCCTCCCCCTAAGAGGCACAGCTGATGCCATCAACATCTTGATACCCTCAGACTACGCTCCTCCAGATCTGGCACATGACGGAGTTTACTAAGCTTATGGAGACAGATTTACAGAAAAACTATAAGCATGGCCCTCAGGAAGTGTTCTTGCCTCTTGCCCAGTCCAACACTCAGCCTGCTCAGCCCATGGGAAAAAAAGTTGGCTTTATCCTGCCAAGGAATGAAGAAATCCAATCAAAATATTCTTCCTTTCACTCTATTCCTCCCATGATGCATCCTCTTTCCTGGGCAAAGTTACATCAGTACATTACATCCCAGTAATCCCAAAGTTATATCCCAGTCTCCTTGGGACTGGCACGAACATTTCATAAATTTCCAGCTGAGGCCAGAGTACAATCAATTGCTATCAAGGAAACCTGCCACCAGAAGCGCCGGGGACCTGTGCTTTCCAAGCTCAGAGCCTCTCAGTTTTTGAATCTGGTGTTCAAGAGGTGCTGGGCCAAGAAATGAGTTGGATCAGCTGTTTCTCAGCCAAACGCTCAACCCCCCGCTGTCCTGGAGTGGGAGAGGGCCACTATCTGAAAACGAGCCAGGCGTTCACTTACCCATGTGTGAGTTCACCAGACATTTGCTCAGCACCTGCCACGTGCTAGGCTCCACGCCAAGAGCTGGAGGTGCAGATAAATCCCTGCGGGGATCATTGAATATATCCGCACCCTTTCATCCCAAACATGAACCCTCATCTGCACACCTACACACAAGCTCAAAGAGAAACTGGGGGTAGGAGGAGGGTATGGCAGGAAGAGCTGCAAAACCACGAGGTAAGGGAAACTGGCCTTTCCAGGAAGGCTGAGCATCCCTAGAAGTGGTCTTGCCTTTCCATGCACAGAGTATCCGGGAAATGCCTGATGCCCCACTATCATCAGGCCAAGTAGAAAGAATTCAGTTCCC